TGCGACAAAGTTGTTTGGGCTTACATAGCATTGCCATATGATCAGTACCTTTGATCTCCTTTGCTTCGATGACGGTTCCATTGTTGTCAATTTGCCATTGCTGGAATTCTTTTGGTGATACTTTATCCTCAGTGCAGATTATATAAACTTTCTTCACTGATCCATATCCTTCATCTGTGAAAGTTTATATAGTATGCACAGAGGATAAACTCATACCAAAAGAGTTTCAAAAATGGCAAATTGACAACATTAATAGTATCATAGAAACAAAGGAGATTAAAGGTGCTGATCATATGGCAATGCTATGTATGCCCAAACAACTTTGTGACACTCTCTTGGAGATTGCCCATAAATACAATTGATCCATCTCAACATCTTCTACTCTTTTGAATAATTAGTAGTTGTTGCTTTCAACTTGAAAAATAATTACTAGATGGGTTCTTTTGGTATGAGTTTATCCTCTGTGCATACTATATAAACTTTCTTCACTGATCCATATCCTTCATCTGTGAAATACTTTGTCTTTGACAAATCTTCTAGGAATAGAGAGCTTGCTCTCCCCAATGATGATGCCAATGCAAGATCCTACCACATTATCATTCAAAATATTACTTTAGATTTGAAATTAGTGTGTTTATAAATTTGCATAAAATAATTTCAAATTGTGATTACTCCTATAGTATGTGTATTATAAAAACTTAATACATAATCAACTCCTTAAACTTGTCAGAATATTTCATTTAGACACTCGAATTAAGTCATGTTCCAATTGGACACTTTCTATTCAAATTTCGAAAAAAACTGTTAAATTAGTGTATTAGGTAGTTAAGTTTAATCACATAAAATATGTCATCTCCTTTTTAATTATACGTATTCACCTAAATAAGTCATAAAACCTCTGATTTTTTTTTACTTGAGGTTGATGCATGTAATTAAAGGAGATAAACATATTTTGTATGGTTAACTTAACCATCTAATAGATGAATGAGAACACAAACAAATTTTTTTCCCCAAAATTTATACTGTAAATAACTAAACAGAACACTTTATTAGGAATTAAGATATTAAATTAGAACAAAACTTAGTTCAAGTGTCTAAATGAAATATATCAACGAGCTTAAATAAAGCTTACCTCATGAGAGCATAATTGATAAAGATTGTAAGCCAAGAACTTGGGCCCAAAAAATATGGATGGCAGAGGCTCTTCAGGGGAACCATATGATACAAAATGGGTGTCCAACCAATTTATTGTTGGCATCCTCTCAAAATACTTCACAAAATCACAATAAAATTGGGTTTATGAATAAAACAATCAATCACAACCAACATAAATAGTGTGTTGTTTTATTTTCAAACGAACAGATTAATCACATCTAACTTCATCTTATCAAAATCACATATTTTAAATTCACCTATTATTTACGGTTTATCATTTATCAAAATTATTACAATCGACAAAAAAAAAAACTGAAGAAAATTCGAAAGAAATGGATGATTAAAACTAGAAAAATTATATGGATATTTTTTCTGAGCTCTACGGTGAATGATTAAAAGTAGAGAAACTATATGGATATTTTTTTCAAAATTGAATTACCCTGAGAAATACATAAGGCAGTGAAAAATTGAGATAGAAAAAAATTGAAGCTCAGTAGATGCATTCAAAATTAATAATATTAAATTTATTTTTTAAAAAGATATATTTTATGTTATATCATCAACTATTGTTAGCTCTGATATACACGTTTAATTTAATCTTATGATAAAATTTTAACTTGTCAGACTCAAATTTAAATTTTAAATTCGTCTCTGCCTGGATCGAAGATGCTCAGATATTAGACTTCAAAATCAGTCATTTCCAAAAACTGCTACTGTGAAAATACCAAAACACATAGGAATTATTTGCTATATTGTATAAGAAGAACTGGGGGTGGGGGGACAGGGCAGTGGCAGTGGCGGAGCCAGGATATTCTCGAAGGGGGTTCGAAGTATAAAGTAATAAACACGTGAGATGGGAAAGAAATATTAATCTTAACTCGCTAAATTTAACTTGTCTTGTTATACCGCGTTTAGGTTCTTCTTACTTTTACCCTGCTCCATCGAGTTTTTTTTTTTCAAATTCTTGTGCTTTTTTTTCTTTAAGTTTTGCAGTGTTTTATTTTATTTTGATTTATTTTATTGAAAAAAAAACTAAATTAGTGGCCTCTTAATCATATGTTACTATAAAAATCACCAAGATCTTTTAAAAGGGGTAAAAATTGACATATTCAGAAAATAAATAAATGACATCAATATTTTTTTAATTCATTTAGTTCAATTTACTAGGCTAGTCATTTGTAAAAAACAAATGATCAATAAATCAAATAAGATTAATTTAATTTTCATCTCCTTAGAATAAAATTGAAAAATAATACAATGAAATTAAAGAAAGAAAATTTAATTAAATAGATTTTGTTAAAAAAATATTCACAATTTTTAAACTCAATTTAAAATTTAAGTAAAATTCATCATTTCTTCAACTTGGTACATAGAAAGAGAACTATGTAGAAACAAAATGAAAAATATAAATAAAAAGAATAAAGAAAAATTACAAAGAATGTGGCTAATAAATTTAAACAAAGACAAATTGAAAAAAAAGAAAATAATGAAAAATAAAAAGGATAAAGCTTCACATTTGAATCAATGAGGCCTTTTCATTTGTTTGTGAATCTGGGGGCCCAAAACTTCTCAGCCTTTTTAAAGCAAAAAACTATGCACTCAGTGAGAATCAAACTCGGCCCTTCCCAGTGGAACTTGAACGCCTTATCCATTCCACCATCCTTCTCTTTAGTATTGAGGGAGTTCATTTTGATTAATATACTCATAAAACCAGATATAGTGTAATTTTTCGACCAAAGGGGTTCAGGTGAACCCCCTAGATTGAACGTAGTGTCTGGACACTTTTCGTCGGAAAATTACGTTGTATATAAATGTCAAATTCTACATTTAAATGATATATATTTAAAGTTGGACACCCTTAACAAAAGTTATGCCTTTGACGTAGTAGTAATATGTGTCCATTTGAATGAAGTAGTTCTGAGTTTGAACCCCAATTAGCATAATATTTTTTTTTATTTTATTTTGACAGTCACACATTATTATTATTAGACACTTTTAATAAAATTTCTGACTCTTCCACGAAAAGATGAGGGACCAGGGGTGAGTGATCATGGAGAAGAAGACCGTAGAAACAATGGAGAGGGACATATCACAGACGATGAAAAATTGGACACCAAATAATAAAAATGAAGTTTAATTATTTGCGAGAAGATCGAAAGACTGTCTTTTATTAATATGTTGCATATGTTGCAATGAATTCTTAGGGGTATTTTAGAAAATTTAAAAGTAGGTGGTACAACTTAAGATTAGCAAATCCATATATACACAAAAATATCATTAACCTGCCCCTACCCCACTAAAAAAATAAATAAACGAGAGCCACAATTCGCCAAATGTGGAGAAATAATGTATTTTAGAAAATTATATTAAAAGGTAGGTGGGACACACGAAATAATGATGTAACCGTTGAGTGGCTTTCTACCTCATATTTAAATGACAAATTTCGCAGGTGCAAATAAGTCTATAGTACATTTAACAAATTATTGAATTTAAGTCTTGACATGTTGATAATTTTCAACTATAGCAATTTAATAGAAAGTTAGATGGACTTATCATGAATTTATTGGGGTGTAATTATTTTATCCATAGATTCTAAAACTTCATAAAAAAGGCGGGATGAATAAATTCAAATTATTATGAATTGTTTTTTTTTTTTATAATAATAAATAAGTATGGGACTCATTCGCTCATAGAAATGGGCTCTCACACCATTAAATATATAGTGAAATTATATTTTTATGACTATAAAAATCTATATATAATAAAATTGCATGGCCATGAAAGTTAACTAGTTAAAATTGAATGACTTTTAAAAGACAAAATTCAGTAATCGAAATTGATTATATATATATATATATATATGCAAATAACATAATTTATCGACTCTAAATTTTGAACTCATATGTAAGGAAAGCGAAAAACGTATGTATATATTATTCAGCTGATCCAAGACATAGGAAGACATGTGAATAGAATCAGGCATGAAGGCAGCCAAGAAAACATCAACATAGATCTTTTGTGGGTATTTTTCCATAACAAGTCCCAAATTCATACCACCAAGACTATGTCCTACTAGTATGACTTTCTCCTCTTGTGGAAGAGATTCCATCAATTCCATCAATGGCAAAGTGTAATCATGAAATGTGTGAAGTTCCTCTATTTTTCTCAAATCAATCCCAGAGGCTGCCAAGTCTAGAGTTGTTACCTTGTGGCCTGCAACCTCTAGCAGGGGCTTTAGCTTGTACCAATACCAACCTCCATGGCATGCACCATGTACCAAAACAAAGTGTCTTCCTTGTTTCTTGATAGGTTCCATTTTCAGGCCTTTGTGAAACTTTTCCTTTGGTTTAGTCTTTTAAGTCAGTTGAACTCTAAGATGGGTTATATAGCGGTTTGGTGGGCAGTGTGGTATTATCACATGTGGTTTATATTGTTTAGGTGACGGCACCTAGTTTCTTGTATATATGTTAGCTGTCATATTTTTCTTCTAATTATTGTTTTTATTTCCTTGAGCCAAGAGTCTTTCGAAAACAGTCTTTCTACCTTGCATAGATAGTGCGTTAAGGTTTGCGTATATTTTATCCTCTCCAGAATCCATTTTATGAGATTTCACTGAGTTTATTGTTGATGACTATTGTTAAGTCGAGAAATACCTCTTCAAGCGTGAGCAAATATATCCAGTGGTGGATCCAGGATTTTTATACAGTGGTTTGGAAAATAGAAGTATAAACGTGTTAATAAGTCAACAAAACACAATTTCAAGAAGTAATAGTATCTAGTTTATAGGTACACAAAATTAGTTTCGTTACAAGAGACCTTTAAGCACGTTTGAATTTTTTTGAGTTTAAATCTACTCTTTTAGCACATTTTTTTGTTAAAAAAAAAGAAGCAAAAAACGTGAAAGATTGATCTTGAAGCTAAATGAAGAGAAACTTAAAAAAAAGTGAAAGCTTGATCCTGAAACTAAATGAAGAGAAGCCTAAAAAATTAAATGTTCACAATGTGATTCAAACCCGGAACTTGAGGGGTTAATTTAAAGGAGATCTATCACTGCGTTACAACTTACTTATGGTTCATAAAGGGGTTCAAAATTAATATAATTACATAAATGCAAAAAATTTACCTTATATATACAATGTAATATTTTGCCGAGGGGGTTCGGGTGAATACCCTGGAACCCACGGGGGTCCACCCTGTTGGGTTTTAAAGGTGTGAATAGGAAATGAAGTGTTGTCACTCTCCTGAAGAGTTGTGACTATGCCGAATGGTTGTGAACTTTATGAAATGTTGTGTCCTTTCTAAAGGTTTGTGACCGTTTGAAAGGTTATGCCTTTTCCAAAGTGTTGTGACCTTTCTGAAAGGTTGTCTTCTTTCCAAAGGGTTGTGACCTTTACCCTTTGTTGGCTATAAATAGAGAGGTTTTCTCTCATTTTTCTGTATCGAATTCTTCCCTTCTTTTGCATACATTTCTTACAAAACAAAATCGATCAATCGTGTCTGTGTGTGTGATTCGTTGCTGTTATTTTGAGTTCGTTGAAATTATCGAAGTTTGAGGTACCACTACTTCTTTAATGGTTAATCCGTTTTATCTCGGAAGGAATTAATCTGCAACCTCGGGTACTTGAGGGGATTAAATTTCTTAAGGACACACAGTGGGTTCTGTGGACTCGGATAGTTCTTTGTGTTTTTCTTTTCATCTTTTATTATTTCTGGTTTGCTAATCTGAATACAGGAGATAACAAGCTTAAGAAATTTATTGATGGTATTTTTTGTGGTAAGGAAATTACTTCTATTTTCTGTGTTCTTTTTATTGGGGAAAGAACAAGATGAAAAAGAGAATTATTTTATCATATGATAAAAGAGATTTGGGATGAATTAGTACTACTTTAGTATGTTCGAGTATATTTTTTGTAGTAAGTTTTCCTTCGATAGGTAAGATTATTATTATTTTCTTCCCAAGTGCATTCAAGCATTGCACCCCTTCAGTTTTCTTTTCAATGAGAAAAGTTATTTTGTGCATAAAGGCTAAGATGTGCACTTTAATTATTTTTCCTATTGGTTTTATATAACTATAAGAAGAAGTAAATTAACAGATGTTGTCTCCTAACAATATTTGAACATGAGTTTAGTTTCTCGTTGAAATTCAATGTCTTCTGAGGAAAAAATTGGAATATGATAGAAACTGGAAAAGAAGGAAAAAATTAGCAAGAAAAGTGACTTGCATGGAATCATTGCTGACAAATAGAATGTGATTCAATGAGGGTAATAATCAGGTTTTATCTTTATTTCCCTTGATTATTTTTTTTTTTCTTATCCTTTATAAGTTATGAGATTTATTTCATAAATGTTAGGATAGATGATCATTATGTGATGATCTTAGAATATATCTTTATTAATATTAATATGTATTCTTTTTAGAGGAGAAAAAAAAAACTTTTTTAGTTTTCTACTCAATGTGAAATTTGATTGTGCTTGACTTTTGGAGACTAAAATCTTCTGGATTTTTTTTAGTCCTTTTGGTTTGAAGAATATAAGAACTTCACGAACAAGTCAGATTGTGCATTGGTTTGAAGAATATAGAAACTTCACCAATTTTTTAAATACTCTGTTTGAATGAATATTCTGACTTGAAGGGTACAAATCTTCGTCAGGAATATTAAGGCTAAATGATTTGAAAAAGATAAAATCTTCATCGTTAGCTAGAAACATTGTTGTATTTGAGGTTTCTGGAGATAAAACCTTTTTGGTTTACTACTCTGTCTGAATGTGAAACTGATGCGAAGAATATAAAAACTTCATCAGAATTCAAGGTTCATTCGGTTAACGATTTAGAAGAATATAAAACTTCATCGTTAAACTAGAAACAAGTTGTATAAAGATTGAATCTTTATTGTTAGTATTCTAAATACTAAGTGGTTTGTCTAGTTGTGACAGAAAGGGAAAAAAAACAACTAGTGACATAAAATTAGTGATTTTTGTGCATGCAATGGGTGTTTATATTGATTAAATTTCCAAAAGAAGGTTTCGTGTTGCCAATATGTATTTTGATGGTATACAATATGAAAGCATGGGAAAAAATATGTGGAAAATAATTTCAAATACTTGAAAAATATTTTTGAGAACATATTTAAAATGTGGGGGGTTCTTTACTTATGATAAAGACAAAATTAGACTTACTATCTAATTTAAATTTAACAGTGCAAGATATGAAATTTAATGACATTCTTGTATTATGTTAGACTCATAAAATTCTTCGAGTATATTTGATATTGTGGTCGTTGA